ACAAAAATTAATGCGCATGTGGATGTCATGCATATAATCAAATCAACATGGCCATTCAGGTGCCTCATAAAAAACATAGGATATAATGTTAAACACACAGAGCCAAGGAATCAAATAATAAAATCGAAAAACTCACACCATTTCCTTTATAGCTCATTTATTTTTCTCGGCTCCATTGATAGCACTCCAACAGGAGTTAGTTTTTCACAATGCATTTTTTTTACATTCCAAATATTATTCAGCTGTGTAGGTAGAAGTTCACATTCAAAATAGCATTATAGGTATGCAGTACAATTTTATTTCCGTGTATGTTACATTCTGGGGGATTTCTTTTTTGTCAGATCACCGCATATTGTATTTTACAGAAAGCAATCACAGAATTGATCAGTCCCCATCATGACATCTTTCTCACTTAAAGCTGTTCAGTAGTAGTACATTAAGATGAGTAACTGGACTGTAGTTGTGTACAAGACATCATTGATAGACGTACTTACAATTACACACTCAGGCTTTATTTGATTTTTGAACCAATTGTTCCCTGAAGCACTTACTAACATTTTAAATGAAAGCTACAATTTTGTAAAATGCAGGTAAAATAACACCGCCTCCTCAACCAACATGTAATTTTTATGTGTTAAAAACTTGAGTAGATTCACGTATAGTCTGTTTCATAATAGATATAGAAATCTGATTTCTTGCTGAACATTCAAATGAATGTAGGGATGTAACATTTAACTTCTTCTTCTGTTTTTAATGGAATACATTTCTTGCCCATTTTTTATCTTTTGAAATAATTGTTTTTTCAAAATTTTCATTTCGTTACATGAATTTGATCAACAAGAACTTGCAAAGTTCCCTGCATGGAGTAGTAAAAGATTTGATCACTTATTCTTCCTTTATAAACAAACTTCTTTCTTTCTGCAGTTCTCACATTTTCTTGGTAATATTCAAACATCTTTACAAAAACTAACAAACAAGAAAAGCGAAGATCAAAATCTGAAGAGCTATGCAACTACGTCTAGTACTTGTTCAGCTGTTTCCTTGGGATTTTAACCTCTCAAGTCCCATTTATCATTCAAACAAGCGTCAATAATAAAAAAAAGCGTATTTGGAGTATAATACATTGTATAAAGACCTGGATTCCATAAAATGCACATCTATATACAATGTCATACAAAAATCATTGGCGGTACCTCTACAGTTCAACGATATGAAGAATACTCACCACAACAATTCTTTCTCTCAAGAACACAATTTTGCCATCATGACAAAGATAGTTTGGAACCTTTGTTACATTATCATTACATTGCACTTAAAAACACCCTTCGACAGATGAAATGTCCATAACTGTACTCTCACATTATTCCAAGATTCAACTGTTTTATATGAGCTTGAGTAATGTCCTAATTGTCTAGTATAACAATGCTTCCAGTTCTATATATCCCAGAAAAAACAGCATTGACTTCATTCTAAATGGTGTCATCTTTGTCAATTATAACATTTCCCATGGAAGTCTAACTTCCTTGTGAGTCTTGGCTTGAACCATTATTGTAATACCCAGAACCTAAACACCTACAGCTTATCATAAGAATTAAAGACTCATAATTAAATTCTGAAGCAGCATGCATCAGACAAGACTACATCTCACATGACTTAAGACTGTGGTACCTTAAGACAAGTTTCTTAGCCTTTGGGAAGTGCTGAGATTTACAATTTATACATTAAACCGTTTACTGGAATGATACCGGAACAATTAAATCTACATTTGAAGATTCTTCTGCTGTAAACTACTTCAGTATCATCAAAGGAAAAACTACGAAGTAGAACTAGTAGGGTAACATCATAAGAAAAATCAGTCTCAGTGAGGTAATAACTGACCACTTGGAATAAATACAACTTCATCTTGCCCAGAAGGAAACTTTTGGTTGTTGGTGGGCATCTTTGCAATGGCAACTTGAATAACCGGTTACATATCATATTGCAAACAGTGGTATGACTGTTTCTGATTGCCATCTTACACTTCAGAAGTAGAAAATTCCAGCACCAGCGAGTGCAGAGCAAACAGGTTATTACTCTAAAATGGTCACAAATTTAGCAGGGAAATTATCATCTTATATTAAGCTCGTTTAGAATATATTACATTACAGTGTGTGCAAGAGGTTGACACAGGCTCCCTTTACTTTACCAGCCTTACAAACATACCAAGAGCATATAAAAACCTTTCAGAAGCCAACAATAAAATGATTCTTGACTACATGTACATTATACATTGTTCCCATATTAAGAGCTCTTATTGTTTTCTGATTACTTTCCTTAGAAGTCTGTAGTTTGCATGTCTATTTGAACAACATTTGACAACTTCTTTTGCTTTACTCTGTGGTATATAATTTCAAAAGAAACTTCGACAAACTTTTACAATAGTCAGAGAGCTTTCATGGCTAGGCCCACAATCATAATGCATTGCGTAGCTGCTTGTGCAACTTGTACATGGTATACTTTATGTTCAAGCATGCTGTTGTTATTACACAACAAGGAGGATCAGGACATTCAACCACTGCAGTTACTCCCCTCTATCACAGACACAATGGATACGCCGAGTACTGTGGAACCTTTTCAAAACCTATTATCAGAACAAAACTTGGAACAAACTATTCTTGATCCCACTTGGAGCAAGCTGTTCTGATCGAACTTGGAGCAAGCTGTTTTTGATCTCTTTTTCTCCACCCACCCACTAGGTGTGACCTTTCAGTAAGTTCTACAATGATGGCAAAATGCCACAACCATCACAAATTCTTTACACAGTCCTGTGATACTTGAGTAGTTTAAGCAGTGAAAGACTAAGTTCATCCTGTATACAACTACAAGGCGAGAGCTGTATTGTTCCGTCTTGGTTGAAGGAAACCCTGCCCCCCTCCCCCTCAGTGCCCCCCTCCCCCTCAGTGCCTGAGGGACTTGAGGGAAGAGGTACTGGCAGAGCTGGGGGTCTTCCTGGCTGCCATGTGTCTGTGGTTGGTGATCCCAGCAATCGCTCCCCGCCTGCTCTTGTTCCTGTGGAGCAACAAATGTTGGTTATTCTATAATAAAAGATGGTGGACAAATGATAGTAGATGCCACCTGAATGATGAAAAATAGTGGATGCTAACATAATATTGTAGGTACAATGTACAAACCAAGACAGAAAACTATAGCTGACATGTAGCTTTAGTGAAGTAAACAACAGGAGACACCATGACCAGTGGTAGAAATACTTTTTTGTAGTGGTCTGCAATATTGCAGAATGCCAAATTTTGTTCTGCAATTCGGAAATACTTTCTGCAAATACACAGTCACTAAAAAGTCGGGATCTAAACCCATGGCACATACAAAATTGCATGTTGGCAAATATTTTACATGCAATTTGAAAAATAGTAAAGTCAATAGAAAGCACAAAAGCTCTTAAACACCATTTAACCCCTGGCCTAATTTTTTCAGTCTGCAAAATTGCAGGTGGCTTAATTTTTCTTCTGCAATATTGAAAATGTCTCTGCAAAATGCAGACTGCAGATGGGCATTTCTAAAACTGATGACCCATGTTACCTCCTCGCTCGGCGCTGTTCGTTGAGTTTTAAGAGCTCCTCCTCGGTGTGCCTGAGCTCGGCCATGTACTTGTTCTGCTCCTCAGGGCTGGTGTGGTCCCTGCCAATGTTGTTCACCTTGTCAAACAGTATCTGGGTCTTGTCTCGTAGTGTGACAATGTTGTTGTAGATGTCTTCATCATCATCCTCCTGAAGGCGAAAGAAAGCAAATCCAAACACATGAAATTGTAGGCAGGATGGTGTGAAGGGTGGACACTTATTACATATTCACCTGTCATGGATTGCAACTATCTTAAGATACACTCCACACCACTTGCACTATCATATTTCAATTAAATTTCCCTGTTATGTATTTATTAATTTTGAAGTCTTACTGTGCAAATACATAAACAATAAACACTTTTCACGATCAATCACAAATCACAGGCCCCCAATGTAATTAGTTAAAATGTACTTACATGACCACAGCTTATGAAAATGCTGTCTGAAGAGTATGAATTCCTAACTTTGATCTATACATTCAAGTTCTAGATAACAGGCCCCAGAATATTCCTACTCATCACCAGACAACCTTTTTTTCAAGCGAAAAAGACCATCTCCCAATTGAAAAAAAAAATTGTTCCCATACCCTTGCATTGCAGATGTCGATGTAGACCAGCAGGCTGGCCATCTCTATCTCCTCGTTGTGGCCATTGTTCAATGGCACAGACCGGAACCCCCTCCTGAGAGACTTGACAGGGTAAGTGGCTTGGCCCAGGAAGTTGGGATCACCAAACATGTCTTCATCTTGCACAACAAACCGCAGGAACGCTATCTCTGGGTTGGCCACGTCAAACTCACACTCGGCCTTGGTCCACAGTGGGTTGAGGCCATTGTCATTAACCGTCTCAGTCTTGAACTTGCTGTTGTCGTACTCTGCTCCGATGATCTCAACCTCCACGAAGGGGCTGGCGATGCCTCGACCCGCCTTTGGCAAATGGCGGCCGCCGAAGATGGTGAGAGTCACGGTGATCGGGTCCACCCCCCTCAGTGTGTTACGGATGAAGGGGTCGTACACGGGGTCACGCATGCAGTCCGGCTGGAGGATGTACCCGCTGCGGCCGTTCTGCTGAAACATGGCTTCGTTCAGCTGCATGGGGCGGTCGGGAGTCTGGTAGTTGAGCGCCACCAGCTGACAGCCCACCGACCACAGCGGCATGGGGTCGTAGTTGGAGGAGTCGATCCGCTGCCCTTTGGGATAGATCCTGCTCAGCTGGTGATGGTTGTACTCCAGTAGCATCGGCGCCTTCCCCTTCACGGCCATCTTCTCCATCTTGGTCTCCGGGAACGAGGACATCTCGTAGTACTGCCCCCGCCTGCCCTCCTCGTAGGAAACCGACCGGCAGTACACGACAAGGTCGGACAGTTCGCGAGCGATCCGTTTCCGCCTCTCCAGGTCTTTGTCCTCGACTGCTTGGACCACCGCCATGCGAGCCGCGTCTCGGATGGTGTCCACCCACTCGTGCATCTCTTCCTCTGACCTGGCCGCGATCTCTAGAGGTCGTTCGTTCATGGGCGTGATGATGCGGAACACCCATCTCTGATCCCCCTTCCCTCCCTGCAGGAGGTCTACTGTACAGGCTGCATGATACAGAGACAATTGGCATTTTTATTGTGGAAGTAGATGTCTTGATATGTCGCCTACTAAACAATAGCAAATTGTAAGCATTGCCCTTTCTAATGACTCATGCACATATATAACCGTAAAAGGCCTCGTTAATTCAGTTGTCAAATATGGGCCATGAGGCATTTGCATGTTGTTGTTGTAGATACATACTTTTGTCTAATACCTCTACTACCACTTTATAAACTCTAGGGTAGGATACAAACTACACTTTCAAGTTAATCTGAATACAATATTTGGTTTATCTCTTACCCTTCATCAACTGCACAACAAACATGTTATTTAAGCTGACATACAAGTCTGAGCTTTTCAATATGCAGACAGGTTACATTTTTCAGAAAAGCAATTATGCCAATGTAGATCTCTAAAAATGCCTGAAAGTACACTGAAAAAAGTTTTCATCAAACTCAAGTTTTCACACAACTGCAACGATACACAGCCATACAGAAGCCTGACACTCACACTGGATGTCTATGACCCCTTGCTGTAGACTGCCCAGTGGGTTCTCCTCGATGCTGTTCTGTTTCTGGTCCATCTCTTCCACGTAGTTCGAAGGGAACCACTTGTGCTCACGTACACCTCCATACATCCCTCGCCACCAGCCTCCATCCTGTGGCACAACAATACACAGTCACGTTTGTGTCTCTCTTCCACTACTATATACTGAATGGCTGACTGACCAAAAATGGATGTGGGGCAGATATACATGTAGAATTCAAATTTATCTAATATCCACTCCGGCTTCTGTACACTCGAAGAAGCCACACAGACGAAACCAGTTGTGTGACAGACTGAATAAAACTTTATTAAAAGTCCTAAACGGAAACTATGTGGCTCCAGTATGCGAGATGTCGGTTAGCTTGAGGAATGAATCCCCTCTACTACATGTATATATCCACTCCAGCTTCTATTTTAATTTCATTCCTTTGTTCACCTTACACTTGTTCCTTCTTCTTTTCAAAAACCTCTTGACTGATCCCTTACTTTAGATTTTTGATAAGAAAAGAAAGAATATTTGACACTTTTGAATATTTATATCTGCTAAATCTATCAACATTCTTTGTTTACTAGCCAGGAGTTTCCTGAACACGTGCTTAGCAGGGAGGCAAGAAGCTGTCACAAAAGCTACACTGTGACAACTTGGAAACACCACATGATGGTTTACCTGTTTGAGGACATTGTAGATGATGGCATGTTTACAGAAGGACAGCTCGTCGTCCCTCTGAGCGCGGTAGTCGTACAAGGCCTGCACCTTCACGTTGGACATGAACAGGTTGGGCTCCATGTAGATATCTGGTCCGCTGTAGATGGCCTCCTCCTCTGGTTCCTGCACAATTCACAAGTAAATTTGCATGCAACAATTTATATCAGTCTTGAATCTAAAAAAAACTTACTCTTTTCATTCAGTTAACATTTAAAACCCTTGTCCTGCGGAGCCCATATATATATATATATATATATATGGATTGCACATACAGTACCATCTACTTGTATATAGTGTCCTTGTATATGTATG